ATTAAATTCTGGACAGACCTTTGGTGGGGAAGCACTCCCTTCTGCAAAGCCTTCCCCTCTCTCTTGAGGCTAGTGTGTGATAAGCATGCTCTCATTTCTATAACCTTGATAAGAGATTCAGAGGGCCTTTCCTGTAACCTCAATTTTCGCAGAGATCTAAGAGGCTGAACTTTCCAAAATCACCTCCTTACTCTCAGAAGTGTTCATCTCTCACTCCACTGAAGACAATCTTATTTCAACACCTAACCACCAACCCACCCCCCTCTCCTTTTCCGGGCAAAAAGATTTGGCTCCCCACAGTCCCCCCCCTAGAGTTTCTTTCATGATTTGGGAGGCTTCTTGCTTAAAGCTGAATACTTGTTACAGCCTCCAAAATAAGTTTCAAGGCCATCGTTCTATCTCTCCTACTATCTGTCTGATGTGTTACAAGGATGGTGAATCTATCGATCACCTATTTTTTAATTGTGTGGTGGCCAGAAATCTTTGGCAGTTCTTTCTCGATTCCTCAGCTGGAAGCAAGTTCAGCAGGACTCCCCCTAATTCTGTTATAGAGTTTATCAACTCTTGGCAAGGGCTAAAGATGATTTCAGGCAAGAGAGGAAGCTGTTTCTGGAAAGCAATCGTTCATGCTGCTATGTGGAATATCCAGTGTTTTAAAAGCACAAGGTGCAAAAAAAGAGCAAGGGCCAATTTGCGCCTGAGGCACGCACCTTTTTAAGAAAGGCACAAAACTACAAAAAAAAGGTAAAAAATAAAAAAATGCAAAAAAATATTAAACATAATGTTAATAAAAAATATAAACATAAATTTTAAAATAAATGTTTTAAAAAACCAATTATCTAAAATTAAAAATAAAAGCAAACATATAAAGCATTTTCAAGCATGTACAACCCACAATCTCATTTTTTCCTTAATTGCATTGCTTCAAGTAGCTAATGTGATGTAAAACATATTGCATTCTTGATTCTATGAGTCGCCTTTGTACCACAACCCTCGAGGCAAGCCCGAACAAGTCTATTACGGTTATCCTATCTCCCAAAGAAATGTAGTTTCTCTTCCAATTCGCAAGTCTCTTTGTAAATCTCTCAATCATTGGATACCAGAAACTATCTATATTAGGATTTCCTCCCAATGGTAGTCCCAAATATTGTAATGGCCAATCCCCTACTTCACACCCCAATAGTCCAGCTAGCTGAATCACCTCTTCACTCCCTAAATTTACTCCTACCACACAACTCTTGCCCCAATTAATCTTAAGGTTGGAGATCCTTTCAAATTTATGGACTATCCTTTTTAGGTTCATAAGTTCTTTTGTTTTCCCTTCACAAAACAAAATAATATCATCTGCAAATTATAGGTGTGTAACCACCACTTCATCCCTTCCAACTCTCCAGCCTCTAACCATATTGTTGGCATTTGCCCTTATGATCAATTCACTCAACACATCAGTTACTAGAGTAAAAAGGAAGGGGGATAGAGGATCTCCTTGTCTAAGGCCCCTTTTGGCAAGAAAAAAAATCTCTTGCTACTCCATTTACCATAATTGAAAAATTCCTCTATCTGGACAAGAAAAAAATCTCTTGCTACTCCATTTACCATAGAAGAAAAGGAACCTTTAGAGCTTGGGAACCAAATTCCTCTATCTGGACAAGGAAGCTCTAAGCAAACACTATCAAAAAGAAGGAGAAGCTTTGACAGACAAGTTGCTTCCTCATCCCTCAAACCCCTTCGAAATCCAAGATCCCAATTAAGACTCAAAGGCAAAGAAGGAAGAACCAAAAAATTTGAAATGACCTTATTTTTATACAAAGAAATAGAATACAAAGAAGGAAACACCTCCTTTAAAGGCCAGTCACCAAGCCAAGTGTCTTCCTGGAACCGAATTAAATTCCCTGAGCCAACATCATACCTGATGTACCTTAGAAACTAAGCCAATCATCCATCCTCCTCTTCAACTTAATGGACACTGAATACTTCTCAATTAACTCCTCAGTACACTCCATCTCTGCATTTTTCCATAAAGTTATAATTCCCCCTGAAGCTGCCCAAGATTGTGTGTATGCCCAACTTATGTCTCTCGCTGACCATATACTCCTTACCCAATTCCTATCTAACTCAGACAACTTAGATTCTTGAATCAACACAATATCTGGCTTTTCTCTTCTCAATAGATCCCTAATCAACCTCCTTTTTTTCTTGAGCTTCCTAACCCTCTTAAATTCCAGCTTATCAATTTCATGGAGACCACGGCAAAATACCCCCTAAACAAACAAACCACTCACCACTTCTTCTCTTTTTTCCAACACTCCCTTTATCATAATCCACCTCACATTTTAGCCTTTCCACCTCACTTAACTTTTTCTTTCTCTTCTTTTTTACATCAGCTCCTTTAGACCTAGGCTCCTCTAGCTTCTCTTTCCCCTCTTTCTTTCTATTGGAACCCTTTTTCTTTGTTTTCCCCTTTTGTTTTCTTGAGCCAGCTTCTACATTTAATCTGCCATCACCCTTTACTTCCTTCTCAACAATAGGATAAGGAGTGTCACCCTCCTCATCCCTTTCAATCTGTTCAGCCATCTCTTCCTCCACCTGAATTCTAAACAGTTCCATAATCAAGTCCCAAATTCTATCCCTGATCTCCATGTCTACAATTTCTGAAAACAAATCTCCAATCACCTCTGTTTCCTACATTTGATTATTCTGATTGGCAGACTGCAAGGTTGGGCTAGTCTCCCCCGTAGGCACAACATACACAGGACTAGAAGAAACATTAGTAGCAACAAATTTCGGGTTCAAAAGAGACTTTTGTAAACGGGTAGGATTTACCGAAGGATTTGGCAACCCCTTAACCCCAATCATTGGGCTAAAGTCATAGGTGCTACTTTCAGAACCACCCTCTAGATAGTTAGCCGTGGGAACAGGGCAGTTTATAGCTCTACTAAGAGGTTCTGGGTTGACTTTACAGCCCCTGCTAATACCCTGTATTTAGTCTTGTTCTGAACACAAATCTCCATTGTTCTTTGTCTTAGATTTTACTTCCCCCGAAGTGGAGCCTAATCTTCCTTCCTCTTTGTCAGGCTGGATTGAGAGTCAATGAAGTGTAGTAAAAAGATCATCATCAAACAATAGTCTCAATCCATCTTCCGCTTCTTCCCCAAGTCGAGAGTGGCACTTACTTTGAACACTTCTAAAGCAAAAACCTTCAGATTTCTCTCCTTCCGTACTGTCCTCTAAACTTATCCACCTGAATCTATTGTTTCATCCCTGTTCTTTGTTCTATTGTACGGTTGTACCTTGGATTTAGCTTCTCTGGACTGGTAGAGTAGGAAACCAGTCTCGGCACCCAAGCAAGCCCCAAACTAGAACTTCTCATCGAGCCTGCTTCTGGAGAATTGTGTTTGGAGGAAGAAAACGCCGTTACAACTTCGGTTTGGGACGATGATACACCCAAGCATTGGTCCCCCAACTTTTGACATCTTGTTGTAGTCACGTGATCACTTAAGTGATCACCTCATCGAGCCTGCTTCTGGAGAATTGTGTTTGGAGGAAGAAAGCGCCGTTACAACTTCGGTTTGGGACGATGATACACCCAAGCATTGGTCCCCCAACTTTCGACATCTTGTTGTAGTCACGTGATCACTTAAGTGATCACATGACTTCCTTTTTAAGTCCCCTTGAGTCAAACTTAATGGGCCAGGCCTAATCAGCCAAAAAATGATACTTGAGGTTTCTTGTTGGAAAAAGGGAGAGAAAAATGATACTTCCATATATGTGCATATATGTATATATATATATATATGTGTGTGTATAAATATATATTTTAACAATAAATAATGTATAAATACATTGTAAATATGCTATACGTATTATTTTATATTTAATATATGTTTTTTAACTCAGTTTTTAATTTTTTATTTATAAAAATATTAAAAATTGCAATTTGAGGCCAAAAAAGGGGTTTTTCACGAAAATAGCAAGCATAAGAGCCTTGGGACACATAGATCTCGAAATGTTACCCAAAATCGAAAAAAAAAAAATCACCCCAATCGGACATTGGAGTGCAAAGCTATGGCCTCCGAAAGTTTGCATGTATTGTGTGCAACCCGCAACCCGGTCACCAAGTCGAACGGGTCAATGGTCCAACTGGCCAGGTCGAACGGTTCTTGACCAAATCAACGATTTTTTACCGTCTGATGGGTCTTGACTGAACCGGACCCAGAATCCTGACCGGGTGACGGTTCGACCGACTGGGTCAACGGCAAGTTGAAAACATTGCAAATAGTGCATCACATGGTGACAATTAAGAATTATTTGTGAATGATACTATCATATTTCTAAAGCCCAGAACTAGAAGAAATTTCATGGGAGTTTCAAATTGATAGGGAAACAATATATAGCATGGTATCCTTAAAAAGATAATAGTAATATATGGTATGGTGGCATACATAAAGTAAAAGACATTATTATTAAATATATAATACCAACTTACAAGGACATATTTGCCATACCTGTGAAATGGATATATGGTAATTCCGGATTACCATATATCTGGCCTAGCACAAACCTCTGCTCCCTCTATTTAGCCAGAAGCATAGCACAAACCTCTGCTTCAACTATCTGGCCTTCTGTAACAAAAAGGAAGTAAAACAAATAAACCAGTTGCTTTTGTTACACCTTTTGTGCTGATGCGAAGGATATAGCTCAGGTTCAGTAAAATAAGATTCTTGATAATAAATATTAGACATAGAGGGAGTAGAGGTCTTACCCCAACGAGTCATAAAGAGCATGTTTCTTTGCTACAATTGGGTGATGCACAAGCAAAACCAAAGATGAAACCTCCATTATCAAAAGGATTTTCAACAGAAGACAAAGAATCAAAGTAAAGGACACACGTCAAAAAGAGAATCAAACAACACTTTTGGTAACTAAGTATCAAATAACTAAAAGAATGGGAAAAAAATAAATAAACTAGTGCTGACACTGAGGGTCATAGAACCACTGCATAAGAAAATCATACAAATACTGATCCATTTGAATCATTCAATTTAATTGAGACAAGAAAAGTTGAGTAGAAACGAATGAAGCCACTTATAAATCACATTTCATGTAATTCAAACACATCGTTAACAAAAATGATCACTCACTAAAAATAGTGTTAGCACAAGGAAGAATACACCTCTACTCATTCTTCCAAGCATACAAAATTAGTGAGAAACCAAGACCTTGTAATTGGGAATCTCTGAATATTTGCGAGCAAGACCAAGGCAATATAGTAGGATCAGAGGACGTATGGCTCGCCCACAACTTCTCAGCGGAAAGGCAAGTCTGGAACATAAAAACAGCACTTCCAAGAGCCGGACCGAAGAGCCAGTTATGGACATCCCAGAAGACTTCTACAGGGAGCCCATCAACCAAGATGGTTTGATTCCCCCGGAACTTCCATCTAAGGCGCTTCACCTGCATCACCGTCTTACTGTCTATGCGGATCAAGAGGCAGGGATCGTTGAGATTAACAGTATCGCACTCAATGGTAACATCATGGATCTGCCCATTGTCACAGAACTGAGCTTTGGTACCATAGAGCCTCTTCCCGAAAATGTGCTCTCTCTTGGCGACAAAAATGGCATTCGAAGGAACGGGTGCCGCGTTGGTCTTCTTGTATGCCTCCTTACTCAAATCCCCAAGGAGGAGAACCATCTCTCGATCAAAGACGACAGCCAAATAGAATCCTTCCAATGGCTCAGGGCCGGATCCGAATTTGGCTGATGAGAGGTCCCAGTATATATCAACTTTACTAGAATCTGCCTCTAAACTCTTGGACCCTTTTCTCTTGGAGAACAACCAGGGTTTTATATCAACTTTACAGAGGCATTGGTTGGTTGAATCGTCGATCCCAACACTAAGGCCTTGACCCATCAGATTCTTGCTCCATGTAACAGTAATCATGCAAGAACGGCCGCGTAATGTACCCTGATAAACGCACGTAACCAAATTCTGAGCATTTTTGCTGGCACTTGAAGAAGAATCCGCAACTTGAACCCCATTTTCGCCAAAACAAGAAGGGAAATCTCTCATTCTGATACCAGGAACCTCAATTTTTCCTACTAGTTTGTGGTGGGGTAACAACCTAATCTTTCTTTAGAGGCAAGGGCTGAAACCCAGAAGAAACAGGCCACTCCAAAGGCCGAGAAACAGAAAATAAACAAAGAGGAGAGGAGAACTGGCCTCTGCCTCAATCGATTAAAGAAAAACTGAAGAACCCATCTCCCAAATGCTTCAAAACCTGCTTGTGAGGGCTTGCTATGATCTGGATACTGGATTTCTTAATGACCCTCCTTCAAAGAAGCAGAAATCAACACATTTAGAGAAAGAACAAGACCCGCTCATAAATTAGACACAAGTTTGGGGAATGTAGGAAGTAAACAAAAATAATTAGGAGAAGCAGATGAACTATGGAGTTGTTTCACTGTCAGCATCTTTGCTAAAACCATCTCTAAAATTACTCGAAAGGCAATTATGGGAAGAGAAAAAAGAAACCACAAATACGGAAGAGATGAATACAGAAGACAGCGACAGCTTAAATAATCTAAAGAAGAAGAAGAAGAAGAGAGATACCCAGAAGAGAAACCTCAAATGGAGAAAACAGCAACTGGGTATGGCTGGAAAGGCTGGTTTTACAACATTACTCTACGCCAAAAAAAGCAAAAGGCATCTCTCTCTCTCTCTTATCATAAAATCTTACAGACCTTCCTTTACCTGACATAACCACATGCATTAGAGAGCTGAAGAAAACCAATATCATGCCAACTTCCACAAGGAGATGCATATTAGGAGATAGATTCTCCTCAAATTAAAGACATTTTGAGAAAAAAAAGACTGTTACTGGGTTAAAGATACGCAATATGGCTTGAAGAAACCTCCTCTTCCATGGCGTTGTATGTATAATTAATGTAATAATGTAATTAATTAAGGAAGAGTAAAGCTGGAAAAAACGGTTTTCAAGTAGGGACCATGTTAATGAAAGCAAGCACGAGGTTACATTTAATTCAATGACCTCTCGTCCCCTTCCTACACAAACCCAATAGTCCCCCTTGACCATTTAACCTTTTTCAGTTTCAGATAATACCAAAGCATCTCTGTGCTGCCAACCCATCACTACCCACAGCGGATTTCCACTCTCTCTCCTCCCCTCCCCTCTTCTCTCTCTAAATTTTATAATATATTCTATATAAAATTGGAAATTAAAAAATTTGATACCCAGACACTAGAACAGAGTATTTTGTATACATGTAAGTGATTGGGTTGATAATATAGGTAGTAAGGTAGATTTTGTTTGTGAAAAAATAAAAGAGTAGAGCAAATTTCTGAGTATGGCTTTTTCTCTTCTCTTTTTATTGTTTTGTAGGGAGGAAAGGTGTTGGTGTTCACGTGTATTTGTTTGTCCATGCTCAGTTGGCACATCTGATGAATGGGGCTGGATGCAGTCCACTTGTTGCTTTTGGCTTATGTTAAGCAGAAACTTTGGAAGAAGGTTACTTGGACCTGGGGGGGCCTATTTTACCTTTATTTATTTTACAATCAATCCTTTCAGCATTTTTAGGTTCAGGTCTCAAGATACAGATAAGGGCAATATTCTGTTTGATCCTTTTTAGAATTCCAGGTTTATTTTACAGCTATCCTTTTTTAACAATTTCAGGCTTATTTTTATTTGACATAAACCAGCTGGGTTGTTCTCTTGTATTTCTTTTTTCTGTAACCTGAAGATGCCCAACTACTGGCTAATGAATGAGAGAGAGACCAATTTTGGCATTTTAGAAAACCCACAGATTTTGATTGTGGTTGGGCTGGCCTTGGGCAACATCATTAAAGCCCAACATGAATTGGGGAGCATCTATCTCAAGCATGGTGGACCCAAGAAGGAGAGCCCAGCATGACTTTATGCAATATAGTCTTAAGTTTGGCAGCCTGACCTGCCTAATGTATGACATTGGGTCTAAGTAGAGAGAGGATGTACAAACCAACCTTATCTGGCCACCAGCCATGACTGGGGCTGGGAGGGAAGAATGACATGTTCAACAGATGAGAAATCTCAAGGAAATTGCTCTGCCTTGCCTTAATATGGCATTTCTGATATTATAGGCTTATAGCTACAAGTAGTGATGGAGCATCTTCACCTTACGTGTTCATATCTGTTGGGTGATTTTCACATTTATCATGCCATGACCCATGCTTTGGGCCTGTCCCTCTCCCTCCCTTGTGCATTCCTCTCTTTATAAACATCAATCACCTTTAATACAAAACGACCTAGGACAGCATATCCTGGCTTGACCAGGATGCCCCAAGTCCAAGTGTTTGTACATGAACCTCAGTGACAGATGATAAGACGTTTAAATATCTGAAAAGTGAAAACAACTTATTTGGATTAACATTCTTGCAGAGTTGCAGATATACAGCCATCTTTGACACTGTTTCATTGACCTGCAGGCCCTTGAAACCAGAATGGTTGTATCACTAATGAGCTAAACACCGACCGTTCCATTCTTTTGGCTCAATACAGAATTTTTCACTGTGTCACACAGACACTGACCCATAGGGACAATGTCAAATCGTGGGTTCTATCTATAGAACTTTTCAGTGATGAAAGATGTGATATCTTGACAAGTTTTTTCAATATTCATGAACAGTGGAAAAGGAATAATTTCTTCTCCAATGGGTATGGTTTTTTAATCACCTTGGGTTTTAGTTTCAAATTTTGTATTTGTATCCCTATTTGTACTCTAATTTGTATAGGAGAAAGCATCAAATTTTAATATTGTTTTGATAATAATAACCAATTGGCATCATTGTTCCTTTGTGGCCTTAAAACAGCGAAAAGAACAAATAATTGGTGCATCAAAATTCAAAAGTACAGATGCAAACAACTTGAAAAGATGGGGAGATAAATACAGAATTTGAACAAACTGGCCAAGGGATAAATACAAATTCATCAATACAAAGGGAACCCAAGTACGAGAAGCCCTTCATTTCTATTTTTTTTTTCTTTTCATCTAAAAATTGTTTCTTTTCGTAAAAGACGGGAGTAATATTGAATTGCACATTAAATTATATCAAACAAGCAAACAAACAAAAAAAGCAATTCATAATCAAGATGCCCTTGTGGGTACATTAGAGTGCTGGAATCAGAAGCATCCAAGGCAACCGATTTGTTCGTTTGTAGAGGATCCACGCAACGCTGTATGCTACTTCCTCTTCCTTTTGTAACTGAAACCAACCATTAAAATTTCATATTTTCCATGAAAATAGAAAGACCACTAAGAGCCACTCCTTAGTACTGAATCAGAAGTCTGGATTGACTGATACATGTGAGGAGATATTCCAGATATTTTAGAATTTTAAATTCTCCGTGGACTTTGTTTGCTTTTGCCGTCTCGTGAGATGGGAAATTTATTGCCATCTCTAGGAATAGTTTTTTAGGCGATCGAGAGGGCTTATTATATATGGTGATACTTCATTTGTTTGAACTGTAAGTGAAGCTCAGCAAAAACTACAAAAATTCCCCGAGTTGAGTATATACTCTAATCTTGTAAAGCAGTCTTTGACTCTTTATTTTGTAAAGGTTTTCTACACACTTGACCAAGAGGGCTGGTATAGCCTACCCAACAGTCCAACACAATACCACCAACTACTGATCACTAAGCTTTTTTTCTTACCTTTGCTCCCAATGGTAAAACAGTTTGGTCCAATCCGATCTAGCCAATATGAATCCATTACAGATGGGGACCAGTCCAATTCAATATTTGGACTGTTCAATCTGTTCAAATTGGTTTTAGTTTAGAAAGGTTTTCATCCAAACTTGGTCCACTCTTATCTTATATAAATTCATTACGAATAGACCATGCCCAATCCAATCCAATAAATACTTTGGACTGATTGGTCCAATTCAATGTCTTATTGGTCCGTTCAATTCGTCCAAATTAATTTTAATTTAATTACGTTGCTGTTCTACTCCCTTTCAAGTGATTGTCATTCCTTAATTAGTTAGTTACATCATGAATTGATCACAATGACAAATATGAGAATAAAATTGTCAGTGGTTTTCCCTTTTCATTGAATTAAGTAAGTGGAGTTCAACTCAACCCAATTGCAATCTCTTTCTTTCCACTTTGAGAGCCACCCTGCCTAATAATTTAGTTTCCAAGGCGTGCTATGATCAACCACACCCACACTCAATTACGGACCCACCATTTATTTGCCTTACCCACATGGCATATGTAAGCTCCCCTGTCCCTGCCACTCTGAAATAGAAACTACAGAACACTGTTTTGGAAACAAAATTAATTATTGCATCAACAAAATGATATTGATTTTATCAAAAAAATCTATGGAGTCATATCTATATCTTGTGCTGAAATTTAATTAGTTATAAATTTGATGATGAGAGTAATTAAAGAATTATTTAATATATATATATATATATATATATATATATATATAAATTTAAGTTGTTAGGTGAAGTCTGAATATATTTTTATTCTCTAATACACCCCTTTATGAGAGATAAATTTTTATTCTCCAACATGTCCGGCCCCCTACTAAGAGTATTGGATTTGAAATATGAACAAACATAGGCCCGCCCATAACTTATGCTGAAATTTAATTAATTATATTGGATACATTAGACCACTTAGTCAAATGGCTCTAATTATCATGTCAAGAAATTGTTCAACTTAAAAACTTAAACCGTTGGGCAAGCCCCTAGCTTTTATTCTCCAATAGTTGTTTTTGTTCCGACCATGTTCCCAAAATACCCCTAAAAACTCGAATGTGAAAAGGATTCCAAGCTTTAAAAATGACTGGAATTCAAAGGTATAATCAGGGATGTCGATGGCACTCCAAACCAAACTTGATTTGATCCAATTAAACCTGATCTGACCCATCTCATATACGGGTGCATCTATATTCAAACAGGTGCTTTATATGTATAAATATTTTATTACTGCAATGGGGCTAGGTTTACCATCGTTCACTTCAATCCAAACCCAACCCTAAATTAAACTCCATCAAGATCCGATCTTAACCCAATAGAGTCGGGTCAATGCGGGTTTCTGAATGGGTATGGGGCACCATCAAGTTTGAAACCCTTTTCGCATTCAGCTTTCAACACCCATTTCAATAGCTACCAAAAACAACCAATGATAAGTGAAAAAAGACCAAACCCATTAGTCTCATCTCATCCACTAGGCCAGGCCTCTCTCGTTCCAGTGGGTCGCGCCCTGGGTTCTGGTTGGGAAGTGACAACTCGAACTTGGACCAATCAACGATTGGGCTACGACGTATGACCATGAACCCACAAAAAAATTGCAGGTTGGTTGGGTCTAGTTTTGTAGGATACCCGGGACACCGCATGAGAGTCCCCATCCAAACCTCACATTAGGGCTGTTCAAGGGTCGGGTTGGGTCGGTTTATTGGAGTTTTTCCAACCAACCCGACCTGGTCGGGTTACCTGAGGTGGAAACCAAAACCGACCCACTGATAGGCAAAACCGACCTAGTAGGTTTGAGTCGGGTTAGGTCGGTTTCGGTTTTGCTCCTGTACAAAAAGAACAGAGAAGCTTAGAAGGAAATTTATTTGACCATCATTTCAGCCATCTGAATTCAATTTAGAGTCCAAGATAAATCTTCATGTAAACTGAAGTTTTTAAGATATTTTCTAGAAATATATTTAAAACTGAAGTATGTATTTTAGAAATATATATATATAAACAAAAATATACATACAAATATGTTGGAATATATATTTTCTGGAAATATATATCTCACATATTTCAGAATATATATTTTTTAGATATAGATTTTTTTCAGATATTTCGGTTTTTATGTAAAACTGAAATATCTTTATTTAATAGTTTTAAATATAAAATATATTTAAATTAAAACTGAAATATATATTTAAATAGATTAGGTTTTTCATACAAAACTGAAGTTTTTTGTGCAAAACTGCAAATATATCATCATTAACCGGATTTTTTTTTAAAGCTTAAACTTAAACAAAACACAAATAAAATATATCAACTTGTAACATGCATTAAATTAAAAAAAAAATTAAATAAAAAAATACTAAC